CCCCCCCCCCTGGCCTGGTCCACAGCTCACGAACGAAAGGAACGCAGCTCAGGCAGTGTTTTGCCTATATTATTGTCCATGGTTCGCAGGGTGCAAGGGAACGAGTGAGGTTTTCTTTGTGTGTGTCTGGAGGGAGGGGGTGGGGTATGAAAGTCATGCGGACGGGGATGAGCCGCAGGAGAGAACACGGGAATTGAATGAATGAGTGAAACTGAAAGAGAGGAACGACTCATGAGCCATGGAGTGAATGGATCCTGTGTTTCTATTTTTGTATACTTTGAACTGTTACTGAATAAAGGCTGAAATAAAGCCCGAAAAACAAACACACACACACTCCTCACTCTCCACTTACTACCACACACAGACACACTCACACACGCACATACATACACACACACACACAGGAGCAAATTTTTGGGTCATATCTATTTCAATTTTCAAGAGCTAGTCTAGAGATTTTTAGATGAGTGTAAAAACGTGAAAAAGAAAGGTTTCACAACAGAAAGAAATCAAAATTAGAACAACCCATAAACAACAACAAATATTAACAAATAAGGGTGTGTGTCCACCTGTCCGAAGAAGATTGGCTGTTTTAACCCTAAATGTGCGTAATTTAAAAAAAAAGTACAGCAGGATATTACATGTAAATTATGGAATCGCACACATTAAGGGGCTTGCCAGTGTCAGTACATTGGTCGCAGCAGTGACAAACGCAGATGCCAGTTCTATGTGTCGTTATCAATAACCCTCCGTAGATCTAGATCTAGACAGCACACGGGTGAACACAACACATTACGTTTAAGAGCAGCACCCTTCATAGGCAACACGTCATATCTGTAGCGAAAAACTGTTTGGAATTGTAGCATTTCTTTATATAAATATTTACTGCGGACATTTTTTGGACCGATTGAACCATATTGTATACGAACAATCTTTGGTAGGCCTATACTATAATTATAGATAGATATCTAAATAAATATCCGAAATTTGCGGGAAAGGATGAGATTTCAGAGTGTTCGGAGAAATAGTGCCCAGCTTTATTTTCCCAAACGTTCGGAGAAATAGTGCCGTCCTAAAAATTTTGACGCTGTAATTACAGTCCTTGTAGGCTAGATTCTAGTTCTAATTCTGGTTTTACGTAAAATCCCCAGACGATATTTATATAATGTAACCTCCTCACACTCACATAACTCACTTAGAAGCTGAGTCCGAATAAATAAAAAACATTTTCGGACCAGAGTCCGAATAGATAATTTAACCCATTCGGACTCGAGTCCGAATGGATAAAAATTATATTCGGGCTTGAGTCCGAATAGAGCTGGTCTTATAAGAAACAAGGGAGAACAGAAGAAGGCCAAGGCAAGGGAAGAGGGGTGGGAGGGGGTGAAAAAAAGAAGAAGCAAAAGGGAAAAGGGTTGGGGGTGAAGTGAACAAGATCATTCTTAAATTGCAGACTAACTATTCAGAGCGCGGTACGTAGCCTGCAAACTACTTTCATGGCGCCGTGAAAGTAGCCACTGCGTTTTGTTATAGAGAGTGAGCCAGCTTTTTAGTCTTTTATCTTACTATGTAGTTTCAACTGACACTGAATTCAGAATATATTCCATTGTTTTTCACTCATCCAGTTTTCACTAGAAACACCCTTTGATGCCTTCAATTGTTTACGACTCTTTCTTTGTGACTGCAGTCGACCTCATAGAAATGTTAAAGAATGCATCATGAATTTAGAGCATATTATATTGTTTGTTTTTCCTTGAGCTCTTCCTCCTATAATACTCAGATGCTGCAATGCAGAGACTTCACCATATATAGACATTGAGAAAACAACTCAATTTTGTTGTCAGTCATTAAAATGAAGACCTCTATTGTCTTT